ATAGGAGATTATGTTTCACACTGCAAGAAGCCGGGCATTTCGAGATTCTGGAAATGGCCGAACACTTTCTGGACAAACCTGTAATAAAATTTTCCCCTCGTCCCATTCATTAATCGCGGAAGTTATAAGAAGTTAATATTCGACGTGAAAAAGAAGTGTGAAAAAGGAAGATCGAAATGCTTCGCGGAGCGACTAAGTAGCCGTTACGGTCTCGTGGTCGAGGGAAACGCGTTTATAAACGGTTTTGATGCACCGATACGGCATACACGTTGCGTTCCCTCGGTCTCGGCCGTCGAGCGCGAGTGCCCGATGCGAATTTGATTATACCGGAAAATTGATGGCGGCTGATAACCCCTATGAAATATGAATATGCTGAAGTCTATAAGATCCTTTCGCACCTTGGATCGCGTAAAAATGCAAGTTTGTAGCGGAACGGCGCGGCGGCAAGCACTGCCATCTTCGAAATGAATACCTTCGAAAGGACGCGTTACCCTTCTTTTCCCGTATCCCTCATGTTCTTGGGCGAAATAAATTTTTATAAAAATATATTTACAACCTTTGCACCGTGCGAGGTGTGTAATAAATTGTAAACGGCGCTGGAACATTTGTGTTCAGAAGTCTATGCTCATGCAGAATATATGTATACGTTTTCAGGATCTATCGTACGGAAAACAGAATGGACGGAGAAATTTTTCGTTCGCTCGACTTTTCAGGCCACTTTTTCTGACTATCAATAAGAATAGGAGAAATAATAAGAGCGAAACAAAATTTTTCCGAGATCAATGTAAGAAACTGAAATAAATATAAAATGTTTCTTTTCATAATTTAGATAAGTTGTGAAAATGATATAACACTATTATTAAATTCTCCTTATGTCTTCACTATTTTTATATTTCAGATATTCATTTTTGTCATAAATACGTAAAATTCACAGTCTGATTATAAAATATTTTATCGTATCAACGATCGATTAGCTTGTACATAGTAGGTACGAACTAACATGTGTGCTATACTTAGTGTAAATAGAGAGATTAACGTATTGCATATGTGGTCGTCAAAAGGAAAACAAAAATTGTATTGAGCCAAGATCTTTGTTTCGCTTTGGTATACATAATTAGGTATTTCACAATACGTGGAATTAATACTGTTAGAATTTCTAAAAGGTGAAGATTTAGAACAAATTCATTCTAACGATTAACGAAATGTACGAAGATATTATTCGTAGTTTATAAACATTTTTCGAAATAAGGAAGTTACACTGTTCCATAATTATTTTATTGCACTAAATTACCAAACACGAATCTGAAAACTGTTTCCATCATCTTGAGTTTCCGAGAAATTTAATTTATTAAACTAAGTAACATTTTCAAATCTAAATATTCTGTGTACTTTTTTTCCGTAGAAACTATAAAACTGCATCTTGCTTAAATTACCTTACAGACTTCTCCGTATAGAATACTACTTTTATAACGTTATAAATACGAGAACAATGTTATAAATGAGCAAAATATTGTTAACGCTCCAATTTTACCTGTATTTTGAATTTATTTTGAAAATCAAGGTTTAAAGCAAAAGATCAAGAATCGCCAGTTATTTTATTACAGGTAACAAATAATAGAAAACAAGTCACTCGCATAAACAAGACTGTATACCAGATCAGATAACATTAATTTTAATATTTCTGTTGACTAACACCGAGAGCTTCTTGTTCAGTTTAATATAAATTGTCTATATCTGAAACTCTGTTATTTTATTCGGAGGTCTAACATTTTTCAAGTCATTCGTGAGCCAACCAGAATTCCAGCAGTTTAATGAGTAAATTCCAGAGAAAATTTACTGTGCAATAAGTGACGGATTTAATTTCAAGCTTAAGGCGAAGATAACAGGTTTTAGTTTCAGACGATTCGAGCTTATTATATAATTAACTTCGATAAATGGACTTCCATTCTTCAAAGTTCGGTTAGTATTAAGCTAGTGTCATAGCAATAATGAAACTTTAAGTTTGGAGTAGTGACGTACTTAAAATACCCCATGTTCGTAAACTATTCTTTCCTTTTTGAAAACCGCGCTCTTCTACAAAATTATCAAAGTTCTTCGCAGAGTCGTTATCCCAAGAGAGAGTACGAAGTTCCAAAGTTTTCTTCTTTTTACTTCAAACCAGATATTTCGTATTAATAAGAGCAACTGGTGCCAACTTCACAATCATTTATAAAACGATTTAAAATCTCGATGTAATAGATACAAATATCAGTAGCAGGATTTTCTCAAACAGCCACTTTCATTTTGTCGAATAATAACAATTATCATCGCTTTAATTCGAGTTCAATCATTTACTATAAAAATCGAATTTTCCGAGTAAATTTACAATCCGACATTACTACAAAATATAATACGATATAGTATAATATAAAATAATACGATTCTAACGCGAAAGGGGTCGCAGAAAATTCTTTGGTATGAACTATGATCCTGATTCTGGTATGATAATTTCCTACCGAAATTAGAGTTCCTCGAGCGAGCCACGAAACTAATCACGGAAAGCACGCGAATTCTCGCAGGTGTCCCTTTTCCAAGCATCTCTGCAAGGCGTGAGCAGAGAAATCGCGTAAAACTTTCGAAGTTCAAACAATTCGTACGCTAACGTATAGTAAATCTCTGGCCATCTTATAAGTAGACTGCGGATTTTATGCATTTATGATAAAAATGAGTATCTAGTTCAAATGCGAAATAGCAAAATCATTTAAACGATTTGAAAATATTATCGCATTGCTGTTAATTCTCTAAAATTATTAAGAAAAGGAGTAAATTTCTATGTACAGGGTGTCCCTGAAATAGGTAAAGAAACTTCGGTATCGTATCCTGCATCCCCTAAAGATAAGAAAACAGTTTTCGAGCGAGTTACTGTGCCCTTAAAAAGATGAAAAGTTAATCATTGTGTATCAGTTACCGAGCTTTTTCTGTAACACTGACAATCAGTCAATCTCTGTAACACTGATCTAATTATTGCGTTTCAATTACTGCGATCAGTTCTATGTAATTCTATAAAAAAAATGTAAAAACATGAAATATTCCGTATTAAATTATTTAGTGTGATTTATTATATATATGTTTCGATACTTACGATATTATTCAATGGACCAAGAAGGTAAGGTTAGATGTAACACGTGTTATGCCGTGAAAGGGTTCAGTAATGAGCGCACGCATCGAAAAAGACACGAAATCTTAATCCAGTTACAGTGCACAGTAATAGAAACGAGACGTTAAAAACTTCAATATCTTGAATTTAACAATGTTGTTTTCACATGCAAGTAAAATTATTGTAAGGGCACAGTAATTGATACACTTACCCTACATACTTAATCATTCTTTCTATAAGCGTGATAAAACTTCGCTGAAATATCCGAAAAGTAGGCGAACTGGGCAAGCTTTTATGGCTGTACATACTGAAAAAATTGTTTCGCTTATAAGATGATCTGATATGTGCACGATATACCGGCACGACCGTTGTACCAAATAAAGCTTCCGGATGATCCATCGCGGTGTATCGTGCACGGGTTTCGTTCGAACCGAACGAACTGCCGGGAATACGAATACTTGGCGAACTTCCTGTTCGGATTACTCTGGCCCGACTTGTGTCAAGACACGCAATTTCTTAGATCGGGACAGAGTTAACTAAAGCTGTACGAAATGTTCCGCGTAACGGGAAACTCGCGACGTCCCGGAATACAGGTTGCCGTCGCCGAAGGAAAATTTCGAGCCCTCCGGTTACGGCTTGTTCTAACGAGGAGAAATATATATGGGTTCCGAGGATGTTGCATCTAAGATCCGGGACTTCGATGATCTATTTCAACCAGATGCATTGTGTTCATCTAATTGTCTTCGAAACTAAACCGTAAGTTTTAATACTGAACTCCAGGTGCCTTTGTCGTAGTAACAATGGTTTATTTTCTGGTCTCGTTGATTACGAAATCGAGTTCGGTCTCTACTGAAATCTCTCTAGACTGTTTCAAAATAGCTCCGAGCAAATTGAAACGTCTTTATTTGATCAGCAGTCGCTCCGTGTCTCGAGTAAATCAGAAACTTTACTCGAATTTATTGAATTTTTTACTAGTTCTATGTTACAGTCTCGTCGAGCTATAAAATTGTCGGCTATATTACTTTCCGTGATCTCGTGGACCATTCAATTTGTTCACTAATATTTTCTGCTATTGATTCTGGCTTTCGTAATCGATTTCAAATATTATTAATTACATGTACCATTTTCCTCCGTAGTAGAATTCAAACTCCAATTACTGTTAATTGTTCTGCACATTGGGTATTCGATTATTGGATCGATGCTTTCATTAGGACCATTAAGACGTCCTTTAATACATCGTATCGATCTTTGCGATGTGTGTTCACGTATTACTGGACTGTTCATAATTTCATTTGTTTCGTATGGTAAAGATATAAATGAAATTTTCCTTCCGGAGTTCACAGATACTACCAAAAAACGATTACTTATGAAGAGAACCATCATACTCTTTACGATTAAGACCTAATTTAATTTTACAAATTTCAAAGTTCTCGCAAGAAAATCAAATAAAGTAATAAAATATTAATATATAATATCAATCAAATGATAAAATATCAATCAAATATTTTTGAGCGGCAGCGTATCCCAGCGACCAAAAGTGCCCGCGAACAGCGTATTGGCTTCGCGTTGGAACTCGTTTTCATTCGATGTGAAAGTTATTTAAACAGAACAATCACTCGTGCGGAACTGTTCTATGGAGTAGCATCCGCTGAAGCTAAAACTGTCGAACCGATTGAACGGTCGCAGCAAGTATTTGGAAAAATGGTATTTGTTTCGGGAGAACGTTGTATCAGAGTTTGGAGAACGAAAGAAGAGAATCCAAGCGAGCGACAAGTGTGCGTCGTACAACGTTTCATAGTTTCGATGGGAATCTATTCAGCATAAAGAGAATCTAGAAAGTGCAGTTTGTTTTGGGAATAGTTACCTAGTTCGTAGCCGCAGCCCTTGTGCTTCCCGTTCGTGACGTCCTGGAACAGGGTCTTGTCGGCGTCGCTGTCGTGGAGTTTGGTGGCGACAGCCACGCACAGATTTTTCGTCACGTCCCAGGCGCAATGGGGATCTTGAAGAGCCACGCATGCTGCGCACGTGGACGCCGCCGGGGCATCGCAATGATGAAGAGGAACCGCACGGATCTCGGAGTCGGCGAACACCACCAATTTACTCGCCTCGCCTGCCAGGTGGACCACCAGCAGGTCCTTGATCGCTTGTCCTGAACGCGATGAAAATGAACGTTACAACTTTCGCTGGCAATCAACGCACGAGTCTGTCAACGCCTTCGGCGAAAGACGAATCTAGCTTCCGTCACCGCTAAAGCGTGTTTAACTTCTGAAATGTCTTGTTAACCACAGACGAGTGTTTACTTATGCTTCGTTATTAGAGTGAGAGCTTTAATTCGAAAAAGTTTGGTTCCGTTGACACGATATAGACGCAAGCTAGGTGGCCACAAACCAAGCAAACACAGAAGCGCGTGTTTACTCGTCTGCGGCACCGCACGAACGGCATTTCGCCGCGGATAACACGTTCGTGGCATTGTACAAACGGTGTTACGTCGCGAGATATCTCGCCTGTGACTTTATACGTACAGTATCGGTGTCGTGACGTAACATGTCCATGGAAGCGATGGGGTTAATAGAACAGTAATAAAATGTGCATGTTTGTCTTCATAAAGAGGTAGAAAACAAAATTTGTTTCTACTTTAGCTGTCCAAAGGATACCACAATAGAAATTGTGTTTTCATAAACACGTTCATCGTTTGATTGTATCGTACATAGAATTATTTGAAATTATATGCTGTTTACTCCATATATTGTAATTATTTGAAATTATATGCTGTTTACTGCATATATTGTAATTATTTGAAATTATATGCTGTTTACTGCATATATTGTAATTATTTGAAATTATATGCTGTTTACTGCATATATTGTAATTATTTGAAATTATATGCTGTTTACTGCATATATTGTAATTATTTGAAATTATATGCTGTTTACTGCATATATTGTAATTATTTGAAATTATATGCTGTTTACTGCATATATTGTAATTATTTGAAATTATATGCTGTTTACTGCATATATTGTAATTATTTGAAATTATATGCTGTTTACTGCATATATTGTAATTATTTGAAATTATATGCTGTTTACTGCATATATTGTAATTATTTGAAATTATATGCTGTTTACTGCATATATTGTAATTATTTGAAATTATATGCTGTTTACTGCATATATTGTAATTATTTGAAATTATATGCTGTTTACTGCATATATTGTAATTATTTGAAATTATATGCTGTTTACTGCATATATTGTAATTATTTGAAATTATATGCTGTTTACTGCATATATTGTAATTATTTGAAATTATATGCTGTTTACTGCATATATTGTAATTATTTGAAATTATATGCTGTTTACTGCATATATTGTAATTATTTGAAATTATATGCTGTTTACTGCATATATTGCAATTATATTGCAATTATATGCAGCGACTCGTGAAAATAACCGATACAGAAATAAATTACTTTAATGTTTATTTTTCGAGAAATTCGTTGAACGTCCGATAGTAACCTAATTTGACTAATATTTCCTGTGCATCCTATACCTGAGTATTTCTATGTCCAGCGTTCTAAACTGTAGGTATAACATTAAATAATTTGTTGTTTACAAAAAAAATCCTCGGCAATCGATTCCGCTCTTTTCCATTCGCCTGTACTCATTTCGTCAATCCAATTTCCTCGTTCAATCCCAGTTTTCCATTAAACAGTTCGAAACGCCGACGTCGAAATCTGCATTTAGTTTGCTTGAATCGCTTGCTTCGTCACGTCAAACGTAAATTTTTGCCCGGGCTCGCGGCCGACACGACGCGCGCAGCGGAATAAATCACACAAATAATCGAATATTTGCTTGCAAGTCCGTGACAGTTCATCGAACGGGTCGGCGAGCAAACGGTGCTTTGCTATTTTTTTCGATTTTTTTTTTCTAACCCCCACCCGGCCGTCGAAAGTCAACGACGGAACGAGACAGAAGCGGCGGAGCGCGAGCCGCGGGGAAAGCCGGGAGAAAAATTATGCGGGTAAAATCGAATGGCGCGTCACGCGATCGCGCATATACAAAGCAGGTTAATTAAATTCTTGAGGATTGAAATTTAGATTTGTGGCTCCGCTGAACGAACGAACGAACGAACGAACGAACGTTCGCCGTTCCGAAATTCCCTGTTTTGCATTGTAATTGGGTCGACGGTTATCGGATGCGTACAATCGAACATCGAGCTTTATGAAGTCTCAGTGTTCTTCGTGGACAAGAAGCCGCCGAAAATTTTCCGACGTATAAAGACATTTTCACCGAAACTTTTGTCACGCTCACTAAAACATTTGATACGCTTACCGACATTGTTGCTATGCTTACCGTATTTCAGCACCTGAACGTCGCTCACGATAACTTGGCCGACGTTGTTCAGAGAATCGGGCGCACGAGTGTTCAACGCTTTGAGAATCCGTCCGTCGTCTAGGTAAGATTACAATATTATGTTAATTTTATTCTCGCCGGGGTTTCCGTCCGTCATGGGACGTGATTATGAGTGCTCACCTGTTCCTATGTAGAGGATGTCGTAGGCCTTACTATCCAGTGCCTTTACCTGAGCATCTACAGCGACTTTGGTAAATCTGTAACTGCATGCACAACGTATGGCTTAATTATTCGACGAAATAGAGAGAAATCTTGTTTTCGAGCGATTTTACACAGTGAAGCAAATTTTCCATTGTTTTTCATTTTTCCTACTCATATTTTCATCGAATGAGAATTATCATTTAAGAAATGAAATGCTGTCTTTGTTTAATGCCAAACCTACCGTGCTGGTTAAAATGACTGGTTTCACATTTTCAGTTTAATACTATTTCTGCCGAAAGTATCAAAAGGCAACTTTGAATTATTTCTATTTAACACTACATTCACGGAACCCGTAAAAATGACGGGTCAATAATTTTTTAATTTACGTTTATCCACATCGTAAAGATATATGATTTATTTACTCGTACATCGTAAAGATTTATGAGTCATTTACTCAATTTATACGTTATTATTATTGTTACTTTAATATAAAACAGCTGTTTTTTGTGCTCCGTAAATCTAGTCTTAACATCCTTTTACTGTTGAATAGAAGTTACATAAATAGTTTAGATTAAATAATTAAATAGAAATTACACAAACAACATCCTTCAACTGTTTTAATTCGTATCTACTCATTTTTGTTATAAGTGCAAAAAGAGTCTACAGTCTATAGATTACTTTCTCGACCTTCGCCATTTCATGAAATGAAGCTGTCCGACCAAAAACAGTACTAAAATAGCAAAAACTGCGAAAGACAATTAGTAAATACAGCGTGACTTACTTGAAGCTGACTTTGGTTATCACAGGGAACGCGAAGAAGGACTGAACCGCGTCGTCCATGAGGGGGTGTGCTTTCACGAAGTTCACGGTCACGTCTGGAAGCGTTCTGGAGTCGTTTACGCATGCACCGGGCCGCGGCTCGGGCACCTTATCCGGAAGTACACGCAGCCAATTGCTGTTTATGGTTTCTTGTTCCTTGAACGCACCTTGGAAGACATCGAGGACATTCTTCATAGAGAACGCGCAGACGGCCGAACCGCCGATCGAGTTCACGGGGGTTGTGAACACCCCGTAAACAAGTCGTGCGTGTTCACCGGCGTAAACGCCCTCCGTGACGTCGCTGGTCGATTCTGTTCAAGTAATTGGAAGTTGATTAGTCATAAGTTGCATAATAAACCCTTCTATTTTACTACATTATTGTGCTCGCGTTAATGCTGGACGGGGCTGGATTGATGGACCGTAATTCTCCACTGGCTGCGATGGGAATTCGTCGATTAAGGAAATTATGCTCATTTATCCGGTGTGAAATTCGGTATGGTTTTAGCAAAATGTGTGACAGTGCAGTTTAAATTTCATAAATATCTCTGCACGTGTGCTCGGTGAAAATGAAAGTAATAATGGATATGCTTGTGTTGTTAATAGATTTTCAATGAAGTAATGACATTCGTGAACCGAATGTTAATTTTTAGATCGAATAATATTATTTCTCTGGACTTTGTTCTTCAAGTTCCATACATTTAATCCTTCAAAAATTTAAAACAGTGAAGTTGATAATGAATTTAAAACTTCTGGAATTATTAATTTTGTAATATATAATTATTATATAATTATATATTATATAATAATTAATTATAATAAATAATTCACGTACTGAAACTATTATAATAGTTACAGCTGTGAAAGGAATTATATTTCTCTAAAAGTTCACTAATAGAGAGAGTAGTGTAACAGAATTATTTTATTATAAAATTATAATACTAATAGTATTAACGTCGGCCATATTATGCGTTTTAATACTTTATCGAGGGGTCACTGCTGGTTACTTATATCAAATACTAGTAATGATAATTCACAACTAATTGCTAACTAATATAAGGAAAAGTATTCTTTTCAATTTCCAAAGAAACAATAATAATGATAATAAATCGCAATCGCATTTTATTAATGATATTCATTTAAAACAATTTTTGCCTAACCTATAATATGATAATATGTATTCATTTCGGCACACCAAATCGAGTACAGAATACGAAGTGGCTGAGTTTTACTTAAGTCTGCGTTTTAAATCAAATTTCTCAACTAAGTTGAAAATCTAACCCTTATCGTAAGCTATTTTCCATAATATATATAGTTTCTAATTTATTCAGAATTTCTATAATGTTAAGACCTTCTCAAACAGTGGCTCCGTGATAGATTTGAGTTTATCTCGCCTTTAAACAAGAGGATACAATTAACAGAGTTTAACTTTCCAGCTGTTAATTAAACAAGCACTGCAAGAGCTATTCAATAGCTTCGAAGAGTCTGTATTTGGCATCCCAAATAATTACAATTTCCAGATATTCATAAAAGACCAGAAATTATTGCTTAAAGGTTATTAATTAATAATATTTAAATTTGATAAATTTTCCGTAAAATTTTGATATTTGTAAAAACTGTTTTAGGTAAATTAAAAAAAATATATCTTTACTTATTCTTCTTACATTTTCAGAACTTTTTACTTTTTCATTAATAAATCAAATATTAGTCTTTTCTCTATAATGGTCTCTCAAGAGATCACAATTTAATTAGTTTCCTTAAATTAAAAATTTTGCACTTCATTTTTAAATTTCTGAGTTTATACTTGAGAACAGTGTTTCATCTTTTTATGATTGTCGACAGAAATAATTTAGTGCTTCATTTAATTTTTACTTCCGCTCATTCACCGACTTATCTATTATGTCGCACATCAAATATTTGAGGTAAACCGAAAGGAGCGTAGTAATTCCATGCGAATTCAAACAAAGCATAATTTTCTGCGCCAGTATCTAATAAAAGATCTCTTCTCCAATATTCGTTTTGGAGAACATTAAAACTCCAAGAGTGTCACATTGTTTCCTTGCCGAATAGAATTGCTATCTTTGGGAGAATAGTCGTTTAAGTACGGCTTATACGTGTGAGACTGTAATGTTAATTCCGCGGCAGTTATAATAAGGTGTTAATATTAATGCGAGCGGCTAGCTCTGGCATAATGGACCGAATGACGTTATGCTATGGTGTAATATCAATTAAGCTGTGCGCGCACACTGCGACGGAGTGAGGGAATATGCCCTTTTTGTGGTGAACGCACCTCTTCTGGCACGTAAAGTGTTAATAACATTTTCAGGTGTGGGATTTAATTGAAAATGGCCCGTAATATTTCATTAGCTGACGCATTATAAAGTGGATAAATTTTATTTCCCCAGACTGGCAGAGCATCGATGCTTTGAAAATTAGTAATTTAAATGTGGGGAACGATAAAATCACCTCGGTTACAATATTCCCCTGCAGGGATATTATCGATAATTGTATTCGTTGTTGCGATTCGTTAGGCAGATTTTATTGAATATACAATTATCGCTGGTAAATGGAATATGATTTTAAAAAGGCGGTCTTCCATTGCGATGCTATTACTGAAGGTAAACAAAAATATCGAATATTTCTTTACAGTATTTTCCAATTATATAAACAATTAAAAAATCGTGTGCGCACGATGTTGGTCACACAAAGTAATATCTGTTTGAAGACTTTTTTCCATCATGCACTGCTTGGTAATTATAGCGATGGAATAAAAAATAGTCGAATATTTGGGAGTTAATTTTCACCCCTTAAATTGAAATTAAAGTGAAATTAATTTACGCAATGAAAGAAAATTGCGTAATAGATATCTACACATGATAATACAGGTGAATTAAAGGGTATTGTATTTCTATGATGTGTCATTAAATCTGTTTGTTTTGAAGTTTTTAAAACTAGTTTACAAAAGTTATATGTAAAAGAATAGAATACCGATTTGCATTTTTTTAGTTCGTTTTATCATAGTTGCAAGAGACCTGAATTTTTTAAAAGTCAACTGTGTAAGTATCACGTAGGTTTCTGTAAAAAAGTGTTCCACTCTTGGCAAGCATTTGAAATCAGGTGTTCCATGTTACCAACCTTCACTCCAATATGCATGAATGCTTCGCGCAGAGAATGCAAAATCAGTATTGTGTTTGTATTCTAAAAAGCTGTGTTCATTAAACAATTAAATGCTCCGAAACAGCTTAAATAATTCATAAGGGTTCCGTTTTAATAATTCCTAGCAAAAGGTTGAACATTTAGTATTAATTCTTTTAGCGTTCGACGTTACGAATCCTCGTTTTTGTATCCAGGAAAGCAATATCAACGTTCCGCATTTGATATATTGGAAGTGAGCTTAAAAGAGGAACGCATCAATAAAAAATATCAAAATAAAATTGCAATCGATGGCACCGCTCAAAGAGAAACGCAGGAAAAGATTGGCACGTTATCAACCGAGAAAGAGCAATCGTTGTAAAATACAGGATCGAATATGACATTAAAGAGGATCGTGAAACGAGTCCTAGACAAAAGTAAGGCTCGATTTCACAAAGAACTTGAAGTCATTTGAAATTCAAATTCGACCTGAATCCATAGATCGTGTGACGCGAGTCGTATCTTGGCGTCGGCTTTTAAATCACAGGTCGTTGCAGATCGCTCGCTCACCCGGTGGTGCTGCTAATGGACATTAATATTAAAAATTCTTCGTGAACAATAACGTTAAAGAAGCATAATCCGGCCGCGGGAAGGACTGAATGGAGGCGGTGAAAGAACACGCGGAGGAAGTTTTCCGTCAATCTCTCGTTAATTCCGCACGAGCGAACCGAGAAACCATTAATGTAGCCATTCTTCAGGGACATTAGCAGCGTAGAAAGGATAATTCGTGTTCCATAAAACACCGGATGAAATTCTCAAAGTCGTTGCCGGTCACGAACAAAAATCAATCATCTAGTTACATTGCATGATCCCTATATTCGAACTAAAGGAAGACAAAAGTGTTCGGATAACGGAGTTTTCAGAGAACGGAACAATTTCTTTACAAATTAGTAAAAAGAAAAATAGAAAACTTTGCAATCTGTACAGTACTTAAGAAACCAAAAAAAGAATTTAAACTTATACACTATGGTTAAGGTAATAATTTTGTCCGTAATAATTTGTCCTCGATTCTGAAGGGAAGTTGCACTAGTTTTTCTCAGTAGAAATTCAGTTTTGTTTTATTCGAACGGACTACGCTCTTTTATAACGGCTATTAGTCGTTAACCATCATGTTTACAAATTTCTCAATTTTTGCTGTGCAGGGATTAAGAGTTTACTGCTAGCAGTAAACCTTCACAGAAACTGGGCTAATTTCCCTGGGAAGTTACTTCCGAGGAGCGACGTTCTAGTTTTTATCGGATCAAGAAATCGAGCGGCGAAAATTCGGAATTTCTTTCGGTTATAATCGGGGATGTTTGTAAGTGCAGAATATTTATGTTCGACTGTTTTTCAATGCGAAAACCTATTTTATTTAGAAATATTACTGTACCATCTAATATACTTTTTAGTTTTACACATCGGCCACCATTTCAGCAGCCACAAAGATTAGGTAAAATTAAGTCATTTTATTCAATAATACGAAAACTGCGAATTTAAAGATGTATGTTCAGCCCGTGGATGTTCACGCAAAATAAAAATCGTCTACATTGATTACAAGACACAAGAGCTACATAGATATTCATTTTGTTTCTCAACAATCTTAATAAGTTTAAAATAGTCAACAGTATTTTTAAATTATTTAAATGGTTTTATTCTCTTATAATTAATCGACTAATTTTCTTCAAAAATAAATATGCCACCAAAGTATGAACACGACGACGGTCATTTTGTTAAAGCGTCATTGTTTAGTCGAATTATGTTATGGCAGTCAAAGAGAACATCGATCGAATAAGTCATTTACAAAGTGATATCAGCCGAGAATGGCTCCGTATGATTCGACAAATTCCGGACTTCGTAATTTAATCAATATCGGACGCCGAACGTTCAACAAATAATTTCTAATGGAAAAGTCCTCTATTCGTTAAGGGATCGTTTCATTTACGATAATTTGACTTTCGGACAAAAGTAATTGGAACAACAGGCTGCATACAAACTAGAAGCGCGGTGTCTGCTACAGGAGGCGGCCAGAGGGTAAAGCAGAAGCAAGCAATTACGATTCGGCGGAAGATTTGAAGGTGCACCTGGAAAGATGATCAAGGGAGCGGAAGTGTAACCACTTTCCGAGTGCAAATTGTTGTTCGTTTCGTTGAAACGGGCACGACACTTCAGTGAACCATCGCGCTTACGGGCGCAGTTTCTAGTAAATACAGTGCTTGCTTTAATAAAGCTGCGGATCTTTGATCACGAAAATACTCGAGCAAGTGAATAGACAGAGAGTGGTGCTGAGGAAGCGCTTACGTACATATGTTAGCAAGTCGTGCTTTTAAAAAGCTTCGCTAATTGATTGGGAACCTCGAATAAGGGGCTATGTTCCATTTATGACTTTCTGAGATAACAAGGTTTAAAGTTATACTGCTGGATATTGTATTCTTTCATTCTGTTTATTTTTTAATACAAAAATCCCGTTTCTCAATTTAGGCGACACCTTTTCACGCGGTAAATTATAACAATATTTACGCGGTATTGTTTTACACCCGATATCACTTCACGCAGCCAGTAAATCGTTGTAAAGCTCTTGAATTAGCTAACAAAATAAAAAATGTCATTGTAGATGTTGATCCAAATATATAACAATGCCTTCGAATTTCGAAAAAATTTCTTAAAATGTTGCAGCAGATATCAGCGCGAATTTATAAAAAGTAAAAGTAAAAGGAAATACTGAGAGAAAGTTATCTGAAAAAGTTTATGTTAACAATGAAAATGAAGTCGATCTTCTAAATATTTTAGGACGATGAGCGTGTACCAATTAAAATGAGAAGGTTGACTGTTTTAAATTGCTTATTGTAATGCCAAAATCAACATGAAACGTCATGAAACGTGTTCTTTTTTTGTTAAGCTATGTGAAATGAATATGTAAATATTTCTAAAACTTATACTAGCTTTCGTTTGAAATATTTTTTCTTTCCTACTTGCAGGCTCTATTTACGCGATTTTCATTCGCGTAATACAAGTACACGTGCAATGGAAATTCGCATAAATTGAGGGATAGGTGTACCGTTTTTATCCACTGTACGCCGCTTCATCTGTAAAACGGTGCACGAGCTAAAAGAATATCTGAAAAATCGTGCAATATACAATAAATCTAAAGTTTATGTTTCGGAGAGAACGTAAAGTGAGATATGCAACCCGAGATCATATAAGTCGGAACAGAGTACGTATGCACGAAAGATTACATTATTCACAGAATATTTAGCCGTAGTAAACTATAATGGAATCCGGGAACGTTTTTCTGAGATTGAATCCACATGCCGCCGATGCGGGAAGAAAGTTGACACGGAAGTTCGCCGCGTAAGTGTTTTCTTTTGGAATCTCGGCGGAACTTTTTCTTTTCGAAATATGCTTTCCAAGTCGGTGCTCTCTAAACGTCCACACGAGTTTCCGACCCAATGTTACGTAACAAAATGTTTTTACTCTGGTCCAATGCCTGACGCTAAAAGTCCACGCCAATACGACGGGGACGAATATAGACGAGCCTTCAGAAATCTTTGCGCGTTAGTCGACAAACTTCCGGCGCGGTGGAGGCATTCGGGCATGCAGCAAAGTTATTTGTAAGGTTCTCTTAATATACTTTCTGATGGCGCGGTAGCGACGGCAGGGTCGAACAATTTTACTTAATTCAATTATTTAGCAGCCTGAGCTTTACAGTCAGTGACGTATCGGATCAATTTTGGAATTTGAAGGTCGTAGCTCTACTACAGCTTTTGCACGTCACATTAGTTTTGCATTAGTTTAGCGAATGTAAAATGTCGGATTTTTCAATGAATGGTAAAAAACTTAATATCTTTTTTTTAAAGACGTTTATTTAATCAAGATATGACCCATTTGCTTCGAAACACTTCTCCAATGAGTTTGTATTATATAAATACCATTTTTTAAGAAGTTCTGGTCTTTCGAATGAATAAACTCGGTTTATAAAAATATTACATAAATATCCGTAGAATTTAGACTCATACAAATCTTAAAATGAATGACAAGAATACAAAATTTTGAAAATATTCTTCTCGGCAAAATATATAAAATAAGATTGTAAATGTGACCTCAAAGATACACTGAGCTATATCTATAGGATTAATTTTGTTACAGGTAAAACGGTTAATTTGGACTGCAAAGAGGCGAATATGATATATAAAATGATTTATTTAAAGAAGAAAACTTGCAACAAGGGAAGGTCTCCAGGTGATATTCGCCGAATTTAATGAAACATAAAAAAGTATTCAAATAAAATGACATATTTATTTACTGCAAGTATATAATGTTTATCATGGAAATTCAATGTTCATATTTATTAATTTTAATTTAGAAGTTTCCCAACATACACATCTCATTGTTGAAACGTGAGAATCTTACATAGTAATTATTGGTTAGAAGTAATAAATTATGACTATATCTAAAATTATTTTATATTTGATCAATATTAACTGTTAATTTGAACACGCGTTTAAATGGTGGAAAATAAACCAGTTTCAATTAACTCTCCAAAAAAATTCTTCCGTTCGCAGTATGCGAAGAAATGTTTTCGAGAAAAATGTGCCTGGAGCTATTTCGATCTCGTCCAAATAAGAAAGTGTTTTAAATGATTATGCGGGTGGCAATACCTAGCACTGCACATTTTACTTGATTATACATGTTTCAGCGAAATTCCGCTGCGTTCACACATAGCAGCATTACTATTGTACACACGTGTTAATACTGCTCTGCTGTGTCAGTAGCCGACGGGCAACTATTTGGTCGAAGAGTTGAAATAGTTGGGAGTCCAAGTTTACATTCGTTCTGCGGATTGCTCGAAACTATCTCAAGACTCTAAAATTGTCTCAATTTAATTGTATGACAATCATTAATTTAACGGGTCCTAGTGTTCACTATTTAGAAAATTAATCTAGAAAGTAACGTTGATATTCTTAATTAAGTTAACGTTATATCGATTGACAATTAATTGTTTATTCAGTTCTTTCGAGGTAATACCGATGTTTGAAATGTTAAAAGTACTAGAAATCAAATAATGGAATTATTTATCTATTTGTCGTCATTAGATCTTTATGCAAATTCTCTTTTCCATATGCCACTTTACAAAAATTCAAATGACAGAAAAGTCTTTTTTTTTTTGTCAACTAAAGCATTACGCATTATAGCTAAATAAGTTAAAAAAGATTTATTTTGCAGAAAGATCAGCAGTCTACTTATTAGTAAACTGCTTTTACAGTGGATAATCTCTTAGTTGGCGAAGGAAACTTTTCTCTTATTATAATTTCCGTAAAATGGCGTATAAAAATGAAAATTTGCAGTTTACCTATTACATTATTGTTTATACAAATGATTTGATGATCGTCGTTTTGCAACGAATTGCAGACGAATGAAACTTGTGCAAAGAAACTGCAGGAGGAAAGTAAAGTCTCAAATAGCTATGCAAGTAAATTAGGCGAATAAGACAGGAATCTGAATAAACGGGAAATGAATATATTGGTTGTTCTCGGAACACCACCGTTTCAGGAACACCGAGGTGTTTACGGGCAGGTGGTGCCTTACTTTAATAAATGGCAGAGCACTACACACGATCGCGAAAACAGTTTCATTGGGGTAAAAGGAGTGAACGAGGGAAAGGCGGGAAGCAAGGGGAATAAAAGCGTAGAAAGAGCAAGCAAACGCTCGTCTGTTTTTCCTACGTGGCGGTCTTACATTACCGAGCTGTAGCTCGGGGGTGTCTAAAGTTCACAAAGTCGAACGAGACACTTAGTTTCTTCTGTTTATACTTCTCCGCTGAAAATACGGATAAATTAATTGATTTGATTGCGGATTCAATTTACGCTTGTCCCTCGATTTACGGTCAATTTATTTCAGTTAACACTCAGCGAGACGCTGGATCGTTTGAACCACGAGCAGAAATATTGTTATTCGATTCTCCAGTTTCTGACAATTAACACTCGAACGGTGGACCCTTCTAACAAAAATATAACTGAGTATGCTTCGGATCATTTATTATTTTATTTAGCAATTTTTTCGACAGATTTCTTGTACTTGTACATGTTCTAGACACGTTAGTTTTTCTGTAAACCTTAATGAAAAGTGCTAAAATTTCAATGACTTGTCAGAAACTAGATAATTAAATAACAATAATTATGCTAGGTCTAAATGTACCCGAACCTCGCCGTTCGAGTGTTAATTGAAATTTTCACAAGTTTTATTAAGGGCTATAGAAAAATTAACGTGTTCAGAAGGAGTACCTTAACAACAACATTCCAACGGCAACTAGCATGTATAACTTTTTGACGATGAAACGACTGTATTTATGTAGCCATTTTTACTGTAATGTACGATTGAATTCAAAATTTTGATTAAGAAATTCATTTTCTATTAATGACTGTTCATAATTTCAGCATCTTTGAAAGAAGAAATGTGAATCCGGTCACATTGACCGGCTGAGCAGAGTTAGTATAAAAAGATATGTTCAGATAGATTGATACATAAAATCGTAAATGATCCTAAGTATACTGAATCATAGTTTTGTCAGAAACAGGATCCGCCGTTCTCGAGCGTTAACAGGATACTTAACCCTAGAAAGATAACCATATGACAACGTACGTAAAAGATAACCATACGCTTCAGAGGCGCATGCTTTTCTAAGGCGTCAATTTTATACTAACAATGGATATTTATTTAAGTTAATCTAGTCATTTTAAAGGTTTGGCATTATTGTAAAAATAAAATGCATTTATATTATATTTTTTTATATTTTAAGTAATTTTAAACTTAAATCACTAGACCTCTATGAAAAATTAACA